CTCTCTCTCTCTCTCTCTCTCTCTCTCTCTCTCTGTGTGGACTCCGCTACCCTCCTCGGCGCTGGACTGCTCCAGCGCTGTGCCACATTTCCGAAGAACAGCGCAGCCGCAGTCTCAAAATAGCGCAGCAGGTAGTCTCCACATAGCGCAGCAGGCGAAGTCCTGAACCAGCGTAACGCTGGATTTCTCCCGGTACTTTCTCTCCAGGACTGGGCAATGGCCCAGCTTAAGTAGTGCTGGGCCAGGACTGAAAGCCCACGACCTTCGACCTGGACCGTTCAGATCCACGGTTCAGATCGCAGGCCCGAACGTGTGGTTCAGCCCTTGGCCTAAAACGGCCTGCCCGGGTCCCTACCGGACATCCAGGCCCTGTCCAGGATTCAACTTCCTGGTACCTGGCTTCAAACAGGTCCTGTGTGGACGTACCCGGCCTCAACGCCGGCCTGGGTTCGAACAGGTCCCAAATCTGTTCGAAAACAAAAGGAAAGGTCCAAACGTTTTTAGAGGTTCAACTTCTGGGCCTGAATCTGGCCCTGGCCCTAAAACGTGTACCTGGCCACAAAACGGACAACAGCGCACACGTTAGAAAAACAGCAGCAAATAAATAAATAAAAGAATATAAAAATAATCTAAAGCTGGCGTTTTTCTGATGCAGGCCCAAGTAAAAATGCCATAGGGCCTTCAGGTTGCGGTGACGCGACCTGAGGGCCCTATTCCAACCTCGATTCCTGTGAGGGGCCCGTGTGTAGGCTTTCAGCATGTAACATGAGTGTGCAATGTCTTCTCCCCCCCCCCCCCAAACGCGTTCCCGCAGCACCCCACCCAGTTCGTCTAGAAAGCTGCGGACGATGGCTGTTCCTGCGTAGGTGCAGTGTCACTGTTTACTCATCAGTCTCTGACATGATTTGGTGGAAGTCTAGCCCTGCAAGCACCGCAGGGCCATCACTGGTCTTCGTGGCGACTTGACGAGTTCGTGGAAGTGTAGCCCTGTGAGCACTGGTGTTCTGAATGCTAAGCTTGACTGAGTGCCATGCGATCACCGTGAACCTTTGCGGAGACCCAGGTGCTGTATGAGGTTCATGCTTTTCGTGTGCCATCAAGGAGGTCTTGGAGGACCACCTTGCCACTGCAGAGCTTCCATGTTATGCAGGGGGGGGATGTGTGGGCTAAGGCAGCTGGAAGATGCAAGTGGAGGTGTCATTGCAACTTTTCGGATGTCATCTGCCCCGGGCAAGAGGAGGGCGGTCGCGCGCATAGCGAATATGCATAAATCACACGGATTTTGGATGAGAAAGAGACTAGGGGGCACGTGGAAAGAACTGAGCGAGCAAGGGGGTTTGGGAGTACATGCTTTTGAGTGGCTCGACTTTGCTGTCCATCTTGCCAGCCATTTCTCCCTGTATCCAACACCAAGTGAACACAGATCTGAAGTTTGCAGATGGATTGTACAGATGGGACGCGGGCATGTATTATAGGCAGAGAGCGGCAACATTTTTGGAATTGGCACACAGAGTGCTCGCAGGTGTGCGGGAGATGTATCTCGTGCCCTAATTTTGGGGTTTGATGGAGTGGTGGGCTTTTCCACAGGCTACGGACTACAGGCTACATTGGATTATTTTTGAGGGGCGCACTTTCCCTGTCAGTATTGGAGTCATAGACCGCATTCATTCGTACATTCCACAACTGCTGGGGGAAGATGGAGAATCTTATTACGATAGGAACAGTTGATTCTCGATAGTTGCGGAGGTTGTCTGTGATGAACATTTGTGGAGTTTAGATCTCTGCGTTGGATGCCTGGGGTCTGTCCCCAATGCTCGAGTGCTGCATTTATCCAAGCTACACGTGGATGCTCGAAGGGAGGATGGGGCCTTCTTGAGGGGGATGACATTGGCTGCACTATGGCCAGATTATGGGTCTCTACATGATTCTGGATATCCAGCTCCCCCTTGCCTCATGACACCAGTGCGCCAGCAGCAAATCCCTGAAGAGGTGGTGTACGGCGCATGAATAAGCCACACAATGTCCGGTTGGGCAGTGTTTTATGTTGGTTGTTCGGGCGTCGGGGCATTGTCGACCTGACAATCATATCTCAGCAATTTGTTGCCATTTGTATCTTGGACAGAGGAACAGTGTGTGTGTGTGTGTGTGTGTGTGTGTGTGTGTGTGCAGAGAGAGAGAGAGAGAGAGAGGAAAGCCGTCCTCGTGCCTACACTGAAAAAAAGAGATGGAGGAAACCCGGCTGCACTTTCATTCTATGCATGATTACTGGTCTTAATCAGCTAAGAACGTGAAGAGGATGGCGTTGATTGGATCGATGCTTCGGCTATGGAGAAGTTCAACAGATGAGGACGCTGCACGAGCAGCTTTCATGTGTCTGATGATCGTCGTCCTTTTCTTCTCGTTCTTCCTCCTTCCTCCTCCTTCCTCTGCCATGTCTCTATTTATGCGTGCCATCCATGCACAGGGGCCATGCTAATCATCTCTGTATTGTTCTGATTTTAATGGGCATGTTTCTTCTTCTTCGTCGTCATCGTCGTGATCGTCGGCCTCTTCTTCTCATTCGTCTTTTTCTTCCTCCTCCTCCTCCTCCATTCCTCCATCTCCACTCGTCCCCAAACTACGTATGATTGCAGAAGGGGATCTCTTTTATGTTTGGACCCCCCCCCCGCTGCATCGTCAGTCAGATTCGGGTCTTCCACTGTGTCATGTTGCTTCTCTTCCTTATATTGGTGATCTTTGGATTCACGTTGGCGATGGTCCACTCGGGGCATGCATCGCATGCTAACTTTGCTGAGGATAAAAAAAAATGTCTTCACGCACATGTAACTGTCCACAAACAGATCACTAGTTCGAATTCTGATGGAAACAGATTGATACAATCACTTTCAAATCTCAAACAAGGAAAATCTCAACTCCCTACGGAGTCTCTGGCAGCTGAAGTCTCATATCGATATTGCAGCCTACTTATTCAAAGGCACAGCTTTGTCTACAATTCACTGGACCGTGCTTGACTGTTGTTGCTGTGGATGGCAGATCACATGAAACTGCGGAGAATCGTGACGGCGGAAACTGCCCTACTGGGGTTCAAGTCAGAGCTACCCTGGCAGGTGAGGCGATGGTTTTAGGTTTCACAGAGGATGAAGAAAAGGATGCTGCAATATTTGTTTCCAACTCTGCGGCGAGCCTCCAGAGCAGAGTTGGAGCCGCCCTGCAATCGAGATCAGCCTGACATGCAGAAAAAACGGCCAAAGTAAACGAAAACATGCCCTACCACAAAGAAAAACCGTTACAAAAAGGGAAAGAGAAAGAAAACATGACGAGAAAAAAGAAAAAAGAAAAAGAGCAACGTTTGCAGCTGTTGTGCCAAGGAAAGAACAACACCGAAAAAAGGAGTCATGCTAAAGCGGAAAGAGACGAGAATAGAAAAAGACGAAAGAAAAAGAAAAAGAAAAAGAAGCTGTTGCTTCTGCAAGGGCATTGCAGCGGTGAGGCCTTGTGGCAAAGGGCCCCGTGCTGCCACTCACTAAATGTGCAAATTGAGAATGAATCTCCGCTGACCACATGGAAAGATGCACCATGATAGTTTTTGTCTTTGTCCATATGAGTGGTGGACCGAGGCTAAAAAATGGCCACCCTGACTGAGGGCATAGTCACACCTGGACTTTTTCAACTCAGCTCTGGACGAGGTTGCAGTCAGATTCATCCAGGTGTGAGTGTATTACTGTCAGATACAATTAGAAAAGTATGTCCTGATTCCGGACGAGGACACCCTGTCTTTCCTGTCCCTGGACAGTCATAATGAGGGCATGCTCAGACTACCGGCAGTCCTTTCCGAAATGTATCTGGCTCAGTTACAGCCCGACCTGAATGAATTGGACCACAATCATGTCCAGAGCTTAGCGGAAAAAGTCCTGGCGTGAGTGTCCCGTGTCTCTTTTTCTTTTTCTTTCGACGGCCTTGGGATATCGTCATTGAATGATTGAACTGATGGCCTGCTGGTATTCAGAACCATTCCATTCTGTTCATCTGATCCAGGCATTCGAACTTGTTCTGTATTTCAAATTTTGAACAGTTGAGGAGTGTTCGGGTTGACCTAGACCCGCTGGTGGGAATTTAAGAGAATCTGAGCCCACTGCGTCCTGCCTTGCTGGCAAGGCGAGGAAGAAAAACCAAGGACAGTACATGAGTGAAAACAAAACCAAGGAAAGTACATGAGTGAAAAACAAAGTAAAAGAGACCAGATTCAGCCTCCCTTTTGTTCCATCTACTGGCAGAAGGTCCGGCACTTCAGTTTTCAGAGAGGTAGGTATCGGTGCCACCCTCAATTTGCCAAGCAGTGGTACCGGTCACTTTCAGGATCGGCAAACTGCATCTTGTGGTTCGTAATAATAGGTCCGGGTGAACTAGTGGTTTAAACCACCAGTACACGGCCCTCGCTTTGCAGAAAATGAACTCGTCCCCACTGCCAAAAAAATTGGAGCTCGGGGAAGGCCTGCCAGTGCAACGAAGGAGCAAGCTTGCGGGCCCATTGAAACGGGGCAAATGGACTGCATGGTATCCTCCCAGTTCATGCAGAGGCAAGAGGCACAAGGAGAAAAAAAACAAAGCTTGCAGGAAAAAAATGCAGGAACAAATGTTGCCCACCAGATGGCAGATGGCGGCAGGGGAAAAAAAAACAAACAGAAGTTGGCTCCTGTTGAAACAGGCGCCTGCCGCGTTTCTGGACAGAGAAGGTTCCCTGAAAAATGAAGCAGGCTCCTGTTTGAATGGGTGCCAGCTCCATTCAATAGTTCATAAAAAGAAGTTGGCTCCCGTTGAAACAGGCGCCTGCCTTGTTTCTGGACACAGAAGGCTCCCAGAAAAATGAAGCAGGCGCCTGTTTCAACAGGCGCCAGCGCCTTCCAATAGTTCATAAATGTACGAACTCAGGCACGAGATCATCATCCTGTGGACGTGATTGCTTCGACCGATAAATTTTGGTAAGTGCCAGTGTGAGCATGCCCTGGTCATAGTTTTTTTCTGTTCTTTACTTTTCTTGTCTTCTGTAACTCCTGTGATGATGAGCTGGCGCCTGAGTTGGTACATTTATGAACCACTGAAATGGTAGTTTGTCTGATAGCATCTGGAGTTGAACCTTGGTCCCTAATACTCTCTATCTCAACACAGTTCTTTGGTGCTCCAACTCAGGCTGTACTCACGCTAGCACCGCCGTAAATGCATCTGACCGCATTTACAGCCGGATGTGGATGTATGTGGCCACAATCACGTAAAAAAATAAGTAAAAACGTCCTAGTGTGAGTATGCCCTCAGGCACGGGCTCATCATCAGGTGAGTTGCATAAAAAAAAAGAAGAAGTAAGAGGGGAAAGAAAATACGACCAAGTTGGACCAACTACCTCCGGGGCATGCTCACACTAGAATTTACTGAAATGTATCCGTCTGCAATCTTCTCCAGGTGATGATGAGCTCGTGCCTGAGTTAGTAGTTCGTGTGATAGCATCTGGAGTCGAACTTGGGTCTCTACTTCAATAGTTGTCTGATGTACCAACCCAGGCACGAGCTCGTCATTACGGGAGTTACAGAAAACAAGAAAAGGAAAGAAAGAAAAAGTAAACGAAAAAAAAAACTACGACCAACTACCTCTAAGGGCATGCTCACACTGGTACTTACCTAAATGTATCTGCCTGCAATCACGTCCGACCAGTGTCAGTTCCCTTTTTCTTCTTTGTTTTTTCACTTCCATGAGCAGCACGAAGAGACTTTGGAGAGTTTGGCCAGGGTGGCACATGAGCAAAAACGACGGCTTCCTTTTCATTCGAGCTGCTGGCAGCAGGTCCATCAGAGGGGCCAGCGCCAGTACCACGCAAAATTTTCCATGTGGTGGTGCCCGTCCCCTTTCAGGCTCGGCAAAACTCGGCGCGCAGGTGCCGTGCTGGTTCAGTAAAAGAGGCCCGGGTGTACTGGTGGTTTAAACCACCAGTACATACCCCCAGCCAGCTTGAGAATCACGATTGAGCCTCTCCGAAGATTTTGGGGCTTGCGGAAGGCCCGGTAGTGCAGTGGAGGAGGAAGCTGGTGGGCCCAATGAAAACGAGCAAATGGACTGCAAGTACTCCTGCTGGTTCACTCAGTGCATGTGGCAACACACGGCCGCATGACAGTGCAGGCAGCCTTTTGAAAAAAAAAAAAAAAAAAAGATAGTGCAGACACTTGGTGAGCAGAAGAAACAATTGTGGACATAAAAACCGCCTCAGTGTTGTCAGGAGCCGTGAGAGGCAGGATCAGGAGCAAAAGAAAGAATGAACTTATTCCCGAAAGCTCTGGACGTGATTGCACTCAGATTCGTCCAGATTTGACCTTGCCGACATCCCACTGCAATTGCAGCCAGATCTGGACGAATCTGACTGCAATCACGTCCTGAGCTTTGAGAAAACGTCCTAGTGTGAGCCAGATGCAAGCACGGCGAGACTTGGATGAATCTGATTGCAATCACGTTCAGAGCTGTGTTGCAAACGTCCTCTTTTGTCTTATCATTGTCCTTCTTCCCTGCCTCACACGGTAGGAGCCGTGAGAGGCAGGCTCCTGACAAAACGGAGGGAACGTTGTGTCCCCACCCGTTTCTTCCGCCATTTCTTCCACCCCCCCCCCTCTTTATTATCTTTTGTCTCTCTCCTATATATTCCACCTCAGCCCCTGTATCTGTCCTAGTTCGTGCACCAGATACAAGCGGAACAAAACAGAATTTGCTATAGAATATAACAAAATGTTGCAGCAGACTGTAGAGCTTATCTCAGGATGCCATGGTCACATATGAGAATAAAAGAAGAAGAGAGTCGAAGTCTCAGGTAGGAGGATGCCATGATCGCATATGAGAATAAAAGAAGATACCTTTCTCGCAGACTGAGGAGTTTCCTTCCAGGAGACCGATGCCGCCCCCAACCATGGGATGGATATGTCGACATAGACCAGATCGTGGAGCATAAGATAATGCCTGTCCAAGCCTGTCAGCAGAGGGAGACTGCTGAAACACCAAATGCAGTTCTGGGTCAGATTCAGGCATCGTACGGATCCAAAAGAAGATTGGTAATTTACAGGAGAGGAGCTGATAAAAACAGTACCTCAAGTCATATCACATTAGGAAAGGATGCTCAAGGGGAAGCAGCAAGTGAGTTGAAGGCTTACTCATAGGGTTTTTGAAGCTGAGGGGGAAGGAGAGGAAGGCATGAGGCTCTTGGTCACGGATGGAAAGGACCTATGCTCGCCCTAAGTGAAGGCGGCCCCCTGAAAATTCGACGAGGCCTCAAACTGAGGCCAATGTGGGCAGGCACAGCCTCATGGGTTGGTTCCACGTAGCATCTCCAGCCACGCTGAGGCCCAGGGCACTTACAGTTGAGCCCCAGGCACATTTTGGAAGGGCCCTGAGCGCAGCTACTGGGACAGAGGCCGAGCATCCAGAGCGTGCCTCACCCAGCCAGTCAGGCACAAAAGGACAGAGGCCGAGCATCCAGAGTGTGCCTCGCCCAGCCAGTCAGGCACAAAAGTGAGCTCACTCACTTCTCATTCATGTGGCTGGCTGGATAGCGGCAGTGGTGCTGGAGTGCTGGCTTGCTGGGCCGCTGGTCGGGCTGAGCGGAAGGGCACCGGCTGGCCGCGAGGAATAAGTAGCGACTGCGCAGCGGGTAACATGGCAGCCATAGCCAGGCTGCCTGCGTCATAGCCGGGGAGGTTAAAGCGGTGGTCCTTGGGTGAGGGACGGCATGGGCGCGTGAGCGCTTACCTGATGATGATGAGTGGGTGGCCAGTCGAACTTTGTCATTGGTCTGCTGACCTTCATGAGGACCTGTTGTCGTCGTTGTAGAGTCTTAGGTGATAGGAGATGTCATCGGGCTGCTGACCTTCTGATTGTAGTCTGGGCACTGACCGCTATACAGGAGAGCGATTGGAGACATTGATGTTGGAGGCGAGTAGAGGGCTTTGATTGTCAATCGACTTCATGACTTTAGTCTTATTTGGCATAACTTGTGTGCAATCTGCTTTCAGTTTCGAGCTCATGACTATCTGGACTTCTGTGGGATGATGCAGTTTATAAACCAATAGGCAATGCGCAGAACCAATGAATCACCCATATGAGGAAAGACTCAGTTGACAGTGCAAACAGCGCAGCGGAAGACTGAAAGAAGATGAACTGACTCATCAGACTCTCGACTCTCCACATCTCACGCCATTATCAGCACGAGGTGCAAGGAGGGGAGCATACATAGAAGGAAGACCCCTCCTTGCTCAGCACACACGGGAGGATCGATGGAAGAGGATGGGGGTGAGATCGAGACTAAGAGGAGCATCAGCTGCAATGCGAGAGTTGAACGACCTGTCGTCACAATCCACAATCGTCACCACAAAATGCCAAGTCCGAACCTGGGGGCATAGTCTCCCAAGTATAGAAATCTCTCTCTCTCTCTCTCTCTCTCTCTCTCTCTCTCTCTCTCTCTCTCTCTCTCTCTCTCTCTCTCTCTCTCTC